GTGTGTGTGTGTGTGTGTGTGTGTGTGTGTGTGTGTGTGTGTGTGTGTGTGTGTGTGTGTGTGTGTGTGTGTGTGAAGGGTCTGCTTTCTGCAGAAAATTTTGAGTTTTTGTACAAAACCTTCTGGCCAAAAACCAAATCTTTTGCCCCAAACCAAAACTTTTTCAGGAAGGAAAAAAAAAAAGGAAACTTGAGGTTTTCTGCCAAAATGTTTCAGGTTTCATATTTTTTCTATGAAAAGTTGAAATTTTCCATGAAAAAGTTAAACAAAATTGATGTTTTTGTTTCTGTTTTCATCAATTAAATTCTGCAGAAAAAATAGTTCTGACCGACACTACTATTTAAGCCTTACAAGGGCTTAAAAATAGTAATTAATGAGCTATTTTTTACTGCCATATGAATATCCCTGTCTGGGATTTAAGTCAAGCAGTAGCGACATCTTCTGGCCAGCTCTTGACCCTCTAAAAAATTAAATCCATATAAGTGACACTGGCTCCTTAAATGTGACAAAGACCCAAATTGAGGTAGACAGCAAAAACCATAGAAGAAGCTTAGAATGATGGGTAGTTCATTTCCTAAAGTTTGGTATCAATTTAGGTCAGTAAATTTGAACTAAGTTAACTTATGCATGGGTAACTGCAGGATTATGTGCAATGCAGGTAAATCGGGGTGTATAGGTGAGGTCAGATACCTCATAAAGAGATCCTGTAAAGTGTTATAGGTTGGGTGGCTCACTATTTCACTGAGCATAAACATGGCCCAAGTTCGTATTTGGAAATGCTATGATTTAGGTTTAGGCAGGGCCGGTGCTTACACTAGGCGACCCTAGGTGGTCGCTTAGGGCAGCAGGATTTGGGGGGCGGCATTTTGCCAACCTCAGCGGAAATTCGGTGGCGGGGGGTCCTTCCGCTTTGGGTCTTTGGCAGAAATTCGGCGGCAGGTCCTTCACTCACTCTGGTACCCACCGCCGAAGTGCCCCGAAGACGTGGAGTGGAAGGACCCCTGCCACCGAAGACCCCCGACCCCCTGAATGCTCAGAGGAGGAGCGCTGCCGCCTAGGGCGGCAAAAACTCTGGCGCCGCTCCTGGGTTTAGGTACGCTTAACCATGCCTTAGTGTTGGGAGGCTGGACTAGATGACTTCTTGAGGCTATCTTTCAGTCCTACATTTCTGTGATTCTAGGAGGAGATAGAGATGGGCCCAAGCTAAACCATTCAGATCCAGATTTCAATCTCCCAAAGTTTGGTGGTGGCTGGATCCGGATTTATCCCATTTAAAGATAAGGACCATGTGCAAAATTTCGAGCTAGGTTGAATTTGGAACACCTCCAAGGATTCATTGTGTCGGGAGCCAGGTTTTCAGCTGTTCACTGGATCTAATGTTTGATTTGTTCATGTTTCTCATAGTGATAGGTCAACACCAGAACTTTTTATCTAACCCCTCCAACCATTGGTAGCTGGGATCAAACGGACCCTAGATCCAAACCAACCCTGGTTTCGGTTGTGCAAAGCAGAACCTGGCTAACGAAGTCTTGCAAAAGCAAAACCCAGTGTACTCAGCCCATCTGTAGTTACAAGGATCTGGCCAGCAAGAAGGCTCCATAGTCCCAGTTCCGGCAAAAGGCTCGTAGCCAAGGTTTTCCAGAGTGGCTAGAGATTGGTAGGGCATGAATTTTTGGTTAAAGGACCCTGAGTTTTTAGACAGTTCTGAGCTCCTACCCTCTGAAAATCAGACAGTGTCTCAGGTTTGGCATCAATGGGTAGGGCACTAATCTAAGACATGGAAGACCTGGGTTCACATCCCTGTTCTACCACAGACTTCTTGTCTGAGCCTATACAAGTCACCAAGCCATTCTGTGCCTCGGGTCCCCATATGAAAACTAAGGACAAAAACACTTCCCTACCTCACCAGGGTGTTATGAGGCTAAATACATTAAAGACTGGGAAGTGCGCAGGTACCCCCAGGAAAGGGGGCCAGATAAGTACTTACAACAGACAGAATAGGGGAGTATATAAAAGCCCCTTCCAGATGACCTCAAGATACATTATTAGACCGTCCGTTTTGGACCCAGACATCGTTGATCTGACGGCAGCAATTCTGTCCCCTCAAAATAAATCAGACTGAGCTCTCTAAGGAAATTTAATTTTATTACTGAAGTGAATTTTCTGCTGGTGAAAGATGCAGCTGGAATGGAGAACAGAAGCAGCATGAACTTCCTCATACTGCCTCTCTGTTGTGTCTCAAGCACTGACCTGGTGTAACCATCTCTGGTGCAGAGAGGGGACTCGGGTCTCCATGACTCACGCTAGTCTTTGCCCTCACTGCTGAGACGGCCAACAAAGGGCCTATTGTAACAACGGGGGAGGAGTGGGAGGTGGAAACTTGCTCGTTAGGAAATGGAGTCACCCTTAGAGCTGGTTGAAATTTGTCATTCAATATAAATAATGATGTTTTTATCAAAGGGAAAGTTTCACAGAAATCATTCTCAGTTTCCATTGCTCAGGTTTTTTTTTAACGCAACTTGTTGTGTTTTTTGATGATCATTTTATCTGTGGTTTTGAGGGGTTTATTTCCTTTGCCAATTTTCACTTATCTTATCAGGCCTAGTCTACCCATAAGTGACATCTCGCTTTAACTACACTGTTATAGTTGAAGTGGTACAACCCATTTTCCCCAGCGCGCATGTTGTTATACTAGGATCAAGGTGTTTATATTGGTATCGCCTTTTTTCTTAGAGGAAGGGAAATAAGCTAGACTGGTATCAGGCTCCTTTATGCTGGTACAACAGCATCCATACGCTGGATTGTGCAGGTATAGCTGTATCGGTTAAAAAAATCCACACCCCTAATTGACATAGTTATACTGGTAAAAACCTGTGTGCAGACCAGGCCCATGTCACTTGGCTCCTGATCCTGCAAGTGTGCATTGGCCTGATTCTCATTTACACTAAAACCCCTTTATACCACTCTGGCGATGTGAAGGGATCTTAAGATGGGAATTTACCCTCGGTTTAAGGCCTCAAAGAACCTTAGGGCTTGTCTACACACCGCCGCAGTGTGGACTACGGAGGTGTGAATTGTGGAGCGCGCTAACTGCCCTACGTACACCCTGCTGGCACACACTAAAAGGTACCCACTACACCTTAACATAGGGAAATGGGACCACATCAGCGCAAACTAAGTTCCTTTTCGTTCACACCAACAGGGTCTACGTGGAGCAGTTGGCGCGCAATGCGTTCGTGTGCGCTCCAATATGCAGCCCTGTAGTCTGCACTGCAGCACTGTGGAGATAACCCAGTAATATAAATGAGCCTCAGAACCGGATGCACTTCAGCTTTATACACCGTGAGTATTCCCGTTTAACTCAATGGGACTTTTCACATGCATGACATTAAACCTGGCCCCACTCCTGCAAACGCTTATCCACAGGCTTAACTTTGGTCCCAGGAGCAATCTGATTGAGGTTAATGGGATTACCCATGGTAGCGAAGTTTAGCACATTCGTAAGGGTTTGCAGGAGTGGGGCCAGGTGGCTTTTTTCCCCTCCAAAAGTGAATTTTTTGAAAACTTTAAATTTTGAAATAAAAAAAGTCTCTTGATAAGCTTTTGATTTAAAAATCATTCCACAGAAAAAATCCATCTATTTCAATAACTGACGGAATGAAATGATCAGCAGTATAGTCACCAAAAAAAAAAGGAAAGGAAAGAAAAGAAAAGAAACTTTTTTGACAAGTTCTACTGATCCGCCAACTACTTTTCACATACAGTGATCCCCTGTGATTGGTTTCCCATTGACCTAACCAGGAACCAGTAGTCAATCAGCAGGGCTGGAAGAGACCATACTACATTACCAGTCTCCTGAGACCTAGCTTTTCCTGGACATTTTGGTGCTAATTCTGCAATTAGATTCACCCGGGCACACCCCTCCTCTGCATGGAGCTCCTTTGAACTCAAAGAGACTTTTCACATGCATGACGTTAAACGTGTGTAGTGTTCTAATTAATTAGTTGTACTGCAATTGCACCTGGGGACTCCAATCACGTCATGGCCCCCTTGTGCCAAGCGCTGTACAAACAAAGAGTTCTTGCCCAAGCAGCACCCAACGGGCTCATGGATCCACCCGAGTACACCTGATTGCAGAATTATGGCCTTTGTAATGGAATAGAACATCAGTCATTTGCTTCAAAACATTTTTCTTTTCATCTCTCTCTCTCTTCCCCCTTTTTAGATGTTATGGTTACTGTACCTGGTACCTGCCATTTCTAGTCATGGGCTTTGACAGAAATCCATCAATCTCCAGGTCAACCAAGTTCTCCAGATCCTAAAGGAGACACAGGGAAACAGTAAAGCGTTCACCTCACGGCAGATTTCACTTTCCGAGCTCTCTGTTTCAGAACTGACAACACACTCTCTGAAGATAACAGAACAGACGTAGAAAACAAATCCATAGCATTTGCCCATAACTTCAGCATTCGTTGTGGATAGATTTTAGTTTGTCGTCTCGGGGCTTGATTCATCACTCCAGTTTTGTGCTAGTTTGAATTCACTTCCCCCTAGGTGCAAGTGGGGAGCGGAGAGGAATTACGATTCTGCGCGTCACAGTTCCTTCCCAGGGCAACAGATCTATGGCCACTCCCCTTCCACAGTGATGCATCTCCAGGCTCCATCTATCCCATTATTTAATATGATCACTTTTGGCCTCCACATGCGGCTATTACTTCTGAAGCAAGGACCTAGCTCAGAGGGCCTGAAATATCCATAAAATACAGCAGGCAGATTTACAACACAGTGGGCCCAATCCTGATCTCCAGTGTGGATGGAGACAGATTCTGTCCTCATTTACATCAGGGTCCAGAGTAACGCCATTGAAGCCAGTGACGTTATTTTGGTTTTACACCAGTGTCACTGAGAGCAAAATGCGTCTCCTTGACATTAGAAAGAGTTACTCCAGATTTACACAAGCCAGAAGGAAATAGGCCCAGTATTTTGTACCTGATACAGAACAATCAGGATAATCAATCTCATCGTGTCATTAAAAAACATTGTACCACGAAAGAGAAAACATCTCCGTCCGACTAATTATTATTAACCCTGGAAAGGGACACTAAACATCACAGAGCTGCAGACCATCCCTGCCTGCTGTCCCGTAATGTTTCAAATGTGCCCAATAAATAATAGAGTTTGAGTGAGAACTGTAACCATCAGACCTGGATCTGAACTCCCCCCAGAATCTGAAAGCATTTGGGTCCAGAGATTTAGTTCAGCTCAGGTCTAGAATTATGACTTTATTTAGAATCGTATTAAGGAGCTGCCCATTGGCCCTGATCCTTTAACATCAATGGGAGTGTGATAGAAGGCAGCTGATAGAAAACAGGCCTGATTCTGTAGTCCCTAACATGTCTATTATCAAGCACCGACACTGTATAGAAGACACACATTCCCTCTCTGGAGGAGCATACATTCTAAGGCCCCGACTCTGCAATCAGACCTGTGCAGGCAAAGACCTTAGCCCATGCGGAGCCTCCCGAAGTTGGAGAGGATCTGTGCTGCTACTCTGAGCCAGTTGCAGGATCGGGGTCTGCAAGCCAGGCAAAGCGCAGACAAGAATGGGAATTCTGCTTGAGTAAGGCATACAGCTAGCCAATAGCTACCCCTAATTTAATATAGGCATATTAAAGAGCAATACTAGGAATGGAAGACAAGAAGCTGTTATCTGGACGATACATGATTATAGCAGAAGGAAAAAGAAATTAAGAGGTAGAGGCAAAACCATTAAGAGAAGCAACGGACCCGATCCTGCCCTCATCAGTAGGCGCTCGGATATTGACTTCAGTGAGTGTAACAGCATTAGACCCCCTGTGGGATTACTTACATCTGGGATTTCGTCGATGATGAGATCAAAGCTTCGTATTTCAGAAACAAGGAATAAAAGCAGGACGCAAATCAGCTGCTTCATTGTCTCCCTGCTTGCTTCACTTCCCAAGAGCTGCTCGCATAGGCGCTGGTTAGCGGATCTCTCCTTCTCTGAGCCAAGTTCAAGGAAAAGACTGGAAGTTATGCAGTATTTTGAACAACATTTTGAAATGCTGACTTTGTTCAGGCCCCGGGTAAATATTTGCCCTGTAACGCAAGCCAGAGCTGCGGGGGCATGGGCGAGGGTTGTGCAAATATAGTATCATCACTCTGCCATACCCCTGATAACGGCTCAGCACCGGATAGGCTCCGGTCTTGCCTTTGTAGATTCCCGGAGGGTTTAACCAATTTGCTGTTAGGTGCAGGTTTTGGAGGATTAAAAATGGGAAAGATCAAAGTCAAAGCTGACTCGGAATAAATCTGTTTACGATAAACAAGGCAACAGCCAGTTCTCAAAGATACTGATGGAATAATACTCTGCACTTCTACAAGGATCCCCAAAGCACTTTACAATGAAGGGCAGGTATCATGGGGCTTGATTCTGAGTTTCACTAATGCCCCTTCACTCTACTCTGGCAATGGAAAGGGGCCATGCTAGGGCCTTTTTAAAGGTATTTAGGCACCTCAAGGTGCAGATAAACAGCTGGTGGGATTTTCCAAAGCACCTAAAATCAATGGGAGTTAGGCACCTGGGTGCTTTGGAAAATTCCCCAGGCTTCTATCTGCATCTTGAGGTGCCTAAACACTTTTAAAACTCAGTCCCTGAGTTGCTTTCTTCCAGGCCCACACTTGGTCTAAGAGCAGGAATGGAGGCATCTGAAACGCGTGTGAAGAATTCTCAGGGTGTACAGCCCTCGCCCTTCCACGCGCAAACACTGTTCCTCGTGCAGGACATATCTGGCTGAGGCAGGGGATGGAACAAACCCAACACGTGAACAGGGCCAACGCAAGCCATGTATTATAGATACCACATGCTCGCTGGAGGGCCCTGTGCTGGGCATTGTGGGATAGAGGTGCAGCACTCTGCCAGGCCCTGCAGTGCTTCCCTAACGTACTGTGTGAGTGCTCTGTGCACCGGAAACAGCAGGACTGGTGCAGATGTAATGAGCACAAGGGGTGCTGTGGGGGCAGTACGTATAATGATTACACTCCCCTTTTCCCCATGTAACCCACGTGAGGGTGTGTTACAGGTTCATGCCAATCCACAATGGATATGAGCCATTGTAGCCAGGGGCGGCTCTAGCTTTTTTGCCGCCCCAAGCACGGTCGGCAGGCTTCCTTCGGCGGCTTGCCTGCGGGAAGTCCGCCGGTCCCGCGGCTTCGGCGTATCCGCCGCCGAATTGCCACCGAATCCGCGGGACCGGCGGACCTCTCGCAGGGATGCCATCGAAGGCTGCCTGTCTGCCGCCTTCGCAGGGCTTGGCGTGCTGGTGCCTGGAGCCGCCGCTGATTGTAGCCTCCTTAACTGACTGTTTAGTTCATGCTTTTTGTACTAGAGCTCCCCAGTTCAGTCCCTGGGGTCTGCCAAAATAATAGCCATCACACCTGCAGCTCTGCTCAACTCTCTGCTGAAGCACAGGCCAGATGTTCTGTCCTTTCCAGGCCTCCCCCCACCCCCAAAGTACTTAATTACACAGTTAAACCTCAGCGCTATGGACCGCAAAACGCTGACTGTACGTTTGAATAGCAGCTGCCAGCCAGCCTGAGAAAGAAAGTCCCACCTGGCTTCTTAGTGAATACATATGTAATACATACTCAAACGTTTACAGACAGCATTTGGAAAATTTCTGAATAACTTCTTCAACAAAACGATTGGACATTGAACCAGTTGGTGTTCCTTCCACCGACTTCCCTGCTTTGTTGTTGTTACATATATTTCAGTGCAAAGTTTCAACACTTTTATACTTGAGGACACAGGTACAGACATATTGCGCTCTGATCGGCTCAACAATGATTTCTCAGTCTCTTTAGTGTGGCCTAAAAAATAAGCATGTATGTCCCCATGATCCTCCAAAGCCTGAAGAGCATAACTGCCCTCCAAACACTTCCACAAACAACAGCCCAAAGATCCTTGCAGCCAACGGCATTTCCAGTGTCAGGGCTAAAAAACGACTGTCTTCTGGGTTTCTAGCAAAATAAGGAATCCGTGGCCTGTATCCAAAGTGGTAGAGGTATCAGGATACAACAGACACATCTAGTGCTTCTGCATCAGTCATCCACTAACTCCACAGAGCTGTCTTCAACTTCCACATTTAGAACCTTTTCTCCCTGAGCTTTGATCAACTCAGCTGTCAGATTGTGAATGTGTGGAACCTTGCCCTTAATGGATACTTTCTCTGGAGCTTCAGAGGCAGCTACTGAGCATGTCCAATAACTACCATACATGTCCTCTAAATATCTGGGCTCTTCTAACTAAGTTGCCTGCCTTGCTATCTGCATTGTGCAGAGACACAGAGGATTTGACTAAATCCATGTCTCCACCCCACTGCTTTTCTCCTTTTCCTTGGACTTAAAAACAAAATCAAATGGTGCAGTATTAGTGTGTGGGTTACACAGACAGCACAGTTGCAATCACACCTCTAAAAGCAGCAATGGTCCTAATTCTCTACTGTAAACAGGACCTTTGTTCATAGAATAGCAGGGTTGGAAGGGACCTCAGAAGGTCATCTAGTCCAACCCCCTGCTCAAAGCAGGACCAATCCGCAGACAGATTTTTACCCCAGTTCCCTAACTGGCCCCCTCAAGGATTGAGCTCATAACCCTGGGTTTAACAGGCCAATGCTCAAACCACTGAGCTATCCCATTTTGAAATTTTTGTGCTGGCCCTGCAAGACTAAGGCTTGGTTTACACTACAGCGTTAGGGTGACATAAGGCAGTTCATGTCGACCTAATTATGTCAGTGTCTATGCTAGAATGCTGCTTCCACCGAAGTAAATATACTGCTACACCAACATAATAATTCCACCTCCTCAAGAGGCATAATGCTTATGCTGGTTTAGTTAGGGTGATGCAGTGTCCATGTAGACACTGTGTTACTTACATTGGCTGTTGGCTGTCATTCTTGTCAGTTTCACTGCTGCTTGGGGAGGGGAGAGGAGCTCACAGCTGGAGCTGTGAAACTGACAAGAATGTTAATTTCACTGCTGGTAGGCTCCCTGCTGTGAAACTGAACCCAGCACCTGCTCACAGCTGGAGCCCCCACTCCTAGGTGGCAGCCTCAGCTTTGAACCCCAAGCTAGGCTCAATTTCATAGCAGGGAGCCTAGCAGCTGTGAAATGGACATTCTTATCAGTTTCACAGCTCCTGCTCTGAGCCCATTGCTGCTGCTCTGAGGGGAGACAGCCTTGAAACTGACAAAAATGTTCATTTCACTGCTGGTAGGCTCCCTGCTGTGAAATTGAACCCCTCTAGGCTCACAGATTGGGCTGTCACCCTAGGGTAGGTGGGGGTTCCAGCTGTGAGCCCCATGTGGCTGTCAGTGCCCCACACTCAGCTGACAGTTACCCACAATGCTCCACTTCAGTCCATGCAAGTGCTCCTGGTGAGGACACATACCACTGGAAGAAGGAGGGTAGTGTGGACACCAACAGCCAATTGAATGACTGTGGTGGCTACAGATTGACCTAAATTAAGTCAGCCTAATATTGTAGTGTAGACAAGCCCTAAGAGAAGTGAAAAAACAATAAGGTGAGTTGATGTGACCCTGCATGGTTGAGGGCCTCCTATATAGTGGAGAATAGGAACTCTAGTGTAAACAAGAGTTGGGGGAAAAGTTTTGGTCAAAACTTTTTTTCAGAGAAAAATGCAGATTTGGCAACACAAACATTTTGTGACTTCATGTCACTTTTGCCCAATTGTTTAGGAAAAAAACACTCTGAAATAATCAAAATGTTTCATTTCAACTTTTGCAGAATAAAATGTTTTGCTTTTTCTGTTTGAAACGAAGTTTTGTTTCAAAATTTCCTTTAATTGTAGTTTTAAAAATGCAAAAACTGTTTAGAAATGGTCAAAATCAAAATGAAACATGTTCAGCATGTTTTGTTCAGCCTAAAACAATTTTTTTCTTTTACTTTTAAAAATTGCCAATGAACAGAAAAATCTGTTTTTCAGACAGCTCTAGTGTAGACAAGACTCTTAGCTTCCTGCTTTTTGACCACCATGCCTCCCACAGTTTGGACTGGAGTTATGGATGATCTGAGAAAATCAGGCCAATGGTGATCCTAAGTGACCCGTCTCCGGTTGCACAGAGAGGCAGTCAGAGATGCCAGATCAGAACTCTAACCCCTAGCTGTTGTGTATTTGAAAACTGTTTTGGAATTGTAAGCTGTCACGTTAATTTGTAAGGGATTTCCTGATTCTGCTTGCAGGCTAGGGGGTTCTGTAGGGAAGCATAAGATCTGGGCCAAGCAACTACAGCAGTCATTCTGCAGCCAGATGGCCTAGAACAAGGCAGGGAGAGTTGTACTTCCCTGCTTTAGAGAACTGTCTAGTTTGTCTCTCTGTTGTGGGGTTCTTATGTACTATTCTGAATTCTCAGACATAAAGTAGTGTTACATCGTAACCTTCCAGCAAGGGCATTTTATGTTTTTATCTAATTTCTCTGTTTGTATGCCATGAACTTGTAAACTAAGGCCTGGTCTATACACAGCTTTGTATCGGTATAATTATTTCAGCTAGAGGTGTGATTTCTTACCAATATAATTATACCTACACAACCTCTAGAACGGACACGCTTGTAGAGGTACAAAAGTGTAGCTTATTTCCCTTCCCATATGAAAATAAACGATACCAGCATAATCACCGGGATAATTGCATTCACACCTGGGGCACTGTGCTGCTTGAACTATACCGGGGCAGTTAAAATGGTATAACTCTTATGTGTAGACAAGACCCTGGTCCTGTAAGCTTGTTCAGCCGGTTTCTTTGCAAACTTAGGGAGGCCCTCTGCATAGTTCGCCATTGAACAGTGTGTAGCACTGAGGCCTAAAGGATTTTCCTTTAAAAATTGACTTCCTGCCTTTCTGTGTGTTACTTTTCCGTCTATATAAGGCATTCCCCCCAAACCACCGCAGGTTAATTGTTATGTGGAAATACCAAACCCATGCGATATGTAACCACTAGATGGCATGAACTGCTCAAAGATAATTTCCGAAAGAGCCTGGAAATGCTCAG